GTCCGTGCGTGCCTCTGTCAACAGTTGGGCACAAATCTTAACCGCTCGACGTACGGTCACGATATTCGGGACGTGTGTGGGGGGTGGGGTGGGGGGGTAATCCGAAAACGAGTTGGGATGTCGAAGCTGGGGTCAAAGGTCAAAGGTCAAGAGGTGTAAAAGAAGGGGGAACATTCACTCCTTAACTTAAGGTATAGGGAGAAAATGCAGAGTTGCGGCACAAATCTAAACGGCTCGATCTAGGCTCGTGATAGTTGGTGTATAGCATCATGGTAGGAAAAGCCATCACTGTGCCGAAATTGGAGGTCACAGGTCAAAGGTCATAAACGGCTCGACCTAGGCTCGTGATAGTCGGTGTATAGCATCATGGTAGGAAAAGCCATCACTGTGCCGAAATTGGAGGTCAAAGGTCAATGGTCAATGGGGCACAGGGCAGATTTTAGACATTTTATGAGGACATGGTCTGACGGAGCGATTGAAAAACTTTTTTGTTTCAGCGGTGACCTACCATTTTTATGGCTTTATTGAAAGGACCATGAAATGTGCTTCCCACTGACGTGCGAAGAGTAAGTGTCTGATAACCTTTTGACCTTGAAAGGGAGGGTTCAACATGGATTTGTTGACTGTTAACAAAGGACTGAACTGCTTTTGCTATTGTTAGAGCCCATACCTGTGTGGATGTGAGGCTACATTTGCAGTTCAATTGCAAAGACAAAAGTTTGTTGAACAAGGTTTACACTCCTTAAATCATATTATTTTCTAAAGCGGTCTGTATATTAATAGCACCCTGAATGCTAGCGTGGCTACCGGCATCCGAAATGTAGGCAAAAACCCAGGGGCAATCCATTACTGATGCATATGGGTGAACTGGCACTTTTCTAATAGACATGCACACCTGCAATGCAGATGTGTTTAATTTATTACTCACAGCTGAGCCAAATTGTTGCCTGCCTGAATATACTTGGATTTTAGCCTGTACATTTCAGCAACTCAATGGAATTAGGTTATCTCTACTTTCTTGACTTATCACCAATGCACAAAGGTCGATGCCATGTTTGATTATTGATTACACTTGCACGCGCCATCTCGCGGCAACTATAGGCCTAGTGATACATTATGACACGAATATATAAGACAATCGAGCAGGTATGAAGTAGGATGCATTGTTAGGGTTTAGTTTTAGTGTTAATACCTATGCTACACGGGTTTGATGATGACGTAGCCGGTTTGACTTTCAACCTTTTTCAGAAACGAAAGCCAGTAGAGTAGAGCAGCAGATGAGCCCTGTCGCTGTTGCGGCACTTATTTGGAATTTCATGGCAGTAAGTGTTTTCTGCCAGCATCGAAATCAGGCAGCAAACTGACCTCTGTAGACTGCTGTTTGCTGCCTCTAATTTCAAACATTGCAATATGATTGCAGGGCACTTCGGACACAATACAGCGTGATCTGGAGTGAGGATGTTTACAACTGTGAGCGACAAGGACAGACAATAGAGACGATGAAGGCAGATCATCTTACATTTGGCACCTCCAGTAAGGTATGCAGCATAGGCAGAAAAAATAAGCTGAAGCTCATCTAACCCACAGAAGCTGAAGCTCATTAGACTGCAGGAGCTGAAGCTTATCTAAACCACCTGACCACGGAAGCTGAAGCTCATTAGACTGCAGGAGCTGAAGCTTATCTAAACCACCTGACCACGGAAGCTGAAGCTCATTAGACTGCAGGAGTTGAAGCTTATCTAATCCACAGAAGCTGAAGCTCATTAGACTGCAGGAGCTGAAGCTTATCTAAACCACCTGACCACGGAAGCTGAAGCTCATTAGACTGCAGGAGCTGAAGCTCATTGTCACACTGCAAGATTTGAATCTTATTATTCTAGGCCAAGAGAGAAGCCATAAAAACTGAGGCAGAAGCCATGAAAAGCTAGGGAGAAGCCATGATTATTGAAGGAGAAGCCATGAAAACCCAGGAAGAAGCCATGATCACTGAATCGCCAGGCATTCATCGCCTTCGAGGACCATGGATTCGTGCTGCCGAACGAGACACCAGCCATTTCATGCCGCTCAAGGACATTCTGTATGGGGAAATAGCCAACGCTAAAAGGTCAAGAGGGCGCCCAATGCTCAGGTACAATGATGTATGCTACCGAGACATGAAAGCCCTCAACATCAAAGAAGACACGTGGGAAGCTGAAGCTGCAACCAGGAGCACATGGCGGCTTCAGCTTTTGGCTGAAATTAACCATCATGATGTAGAGTGATACCATCTCACGTAGATGAACGGATGCCGATATATATTGAGAATTTGAGATTTCACAGAGAATTTGTAGTAGCGGTCAAGTGCGGCACATGCAGCAAATGTAGTTGTTCTTATCTCCTTCAATGTAGTCACATGCTTCATGAACCCAAACTTTACACTTGTCACACTATCCAGTCCACAGTATCATTGTCCATGCCTGGTGGATTTTCTTTTAAACAGAATCCACACACTTCAACACCAGCTTCTTCTAATTGCGTCTGTGTAGTGTCAGACATTGTAGCCATCTGGTGCCGAACACTTTTCTTTTTCCTTGTAGACAAGAAATTGTTTTGTTTTTCAGCCAGTTTGTTAGATGGAATTGACTTTGTCTGCAGGTAGTGGTGATCATTCCCAATTACACTGAGAACTTTAGCCACTGAAATCGCAGAACGAGTGTGCTGCAAAGTTGAACTAATTGTATCTCTTGTTGGAGCCTGCCTTATCAAATCACTAAGCTCAGAAATCTTGCCAAGTGCAACGGTTTTCAGATCTTGAAGCTGCTGTTCCTCCTTGAGTTGTTCCTCCTGATGTATGATCTTACTTAGTTCTTCACGTTCGTGTACAAAATCCTCGACTTCTATGTGATCAACTTTGTCCTGCTCTAGTTGCGTAGTAATGTGTGAGTGGTAAAATATATTAACTGAATGAATGTGGATGCACACTAGAGAACGCAAAATGTAATCAGGGCAGGTACATTTGAACTTGTGGACACAAGCATTGCAAAACTTGCATTGTAGCAGACAAGTGCAGGGAGCAGTTCGTAATCTTCGCACATGATATTGGGTGCCTTTTTTGGATACGGATTCTACTGTCCAGCTGTTGGAATCTAACAGTAGAACTCCTTTTCTCTGCACTGTAGCTTCCGCTTGCTTGTGGCGCTTGCAACTTTCCCGCTGTCTTATAGTAGATTTGCCCTTTTCTGCTTTTATTAGCTGCTCAAAAGCCTTATCCCTTGAAATTTTCCCGAGCTTGAATATTAGGTGGTCAACCCGTCGATTTTGCTTTCGCTCGAAGTAGACATGCTTGAGAGTGCGATGAAAACTCTCCACGAACATGTTGGTATTAGTTTTAGAGCCAGCTCGAAAGCAAGCTGCCCATTCTCCAACTCTGCCGACGTATTCTTTCTGAAAATAATTGGCCAGGGGCTCAGATATGTCTTTTACCCATGCTAAAAACTGTTGTAAGGAGCGACGAAACTGAGCTTCTGATGGTTCATTTTGCAGTGCCTTCATAACTGCATACATCTCTGCTTGTTGTTCCCTGTCTTTAATGCATTGATTCAGCTTCCTCCTCCAGCTGCGATCGACGTGCCAGCTGCATAGGAGCTTTCTGTTTGGTCTTGAGAATGAATAACGCCAGGCGTTATAGTACTGCTCAGCATCATCGCTCATGAAATCATCTGTTTGCACGTTACCGCACCTCTCTCTGATGCTTGTAAAAAAGACCTTTAAAGCATCAGCCGTTTCTCTGTTGGTGATAAGCCACGCAGCAGGAATTCCCTCATTGAAGTCGTCGATAACCATAACAGTAATCAATTGAAAGTCATAGGCAGTTGTTCCATGTGTACCATCGAGACAGACTACTTTATGGGCATGCTGCTTGAACATTTTCGCCTGGAATTCCGTCTGCAATCCAAGCAGAAAGTCTTTGTTCTCGACACCTGGATAGATGGATTTTTCGCCTTGGCGCTTAAAACATATAACAGGATTATAATCCTCTGTCGTCATTTCTTCTACCCAGAATAAGACGCTGTCTGCATCGTTGTTGGCCTTTTGCATAGAGTTGATACTGTACTGCTGCTTAATGTTACGGAGGTCAGCACGGGTGGTTAAGTGATCTCTATGCAGTGGCCCAACTATGTTGTCCCGGATGTAGTCCAGCACAGAGTTCATGCTAACACCCTGCGCAAGTTTGGCAGCAATGGTAGTGCGCATCTCCGGCGAAATTCTGTTGTAAGCGCTTTCTTGTCGATGACCTACATGCTTTAAGCAGTACTCTGCCTTCACCTCTCCTGTTACATATGTCCAGGCAGTGATAAATGCGGGACAGCTGCATCCAGTCTTTGAAGTTCCCTGTGATTTTAAGGGCCTCTTACCAGAACCTCTGGTCTCAAATGTGCCAGCTCTGTTGCAGTGTAGCCACGTTGTATTGTAATACTCTGTATGCCTGTCTGCCCTCGGTCTCACATACCAAGTCTTAGTAATCGTTTCCTCCTCCTGCTTCCATTTTTGAAAGTCTTGCCAACAATTGAATGTTGATTCTTCTATTACCAGCTTTCGATCATGGTCAGAATTTAAGTGTGCAATCAACTGCTTTGTCGTGTCAAACCCGTTTGGCATGTTTTCAGTGTCTCTACAGTCAGGACAGATGACTGGCTTCCCTTTCCCGTTATCATGTTGCTTTGTGTTATTGCGTCTTCTGTGTCTGAGTCTGTGTTTGTACAGCGTGTTCCTACTGCTCAACGTCTGTCCGCATTTATTGCACTGATATTTCGGGCAACTTTTACTTGCCGAGGACTTTTTTGCTTTCAGTGGTGAAGAATTATCTGAAGAAGCTCTTTTTTTGGATTTTGCTGGTGAAAGATTAGCTGACGTGATCTTCGTTTGTTCTTTGGGTGGTGCAGAACTAGGTGGGTTAACCAAAGAATCCTTCATTTTAGCTTCTGGTGGGACGAAACTAGGCGAGTCATTTGAGCTAGGTGTTTTGGAAGGTGACGAATCTACTGCATCATCACTTCTCGGAGGACTAGCGGAGAAATCTACAGGTTGTGTCTTGCCTTTTCGTCCTGATACCTTCTGCCACTGGGAAAAATTGTGGTCTGAACTCTGCTGATTACTGGTCATAGACCCGACAGGGGGCAACATATAATCCAGCTCTATTTTACCTTCAGCAAACCAGGCCATCAACACTCGTCTCAGGTAATATACATGCTGGCTCGGATGTTGCAGATAGAGACTATTCTTAGAGGGAGGGCCGGTGAGCCACTTCAGCAGATCATCGTTAAGAGCAGCAGTAGCAGCATTAGCAAGTGCAATTACACCACACATGGAAGAGCAGGTCTGCAACGAATAGTTGAGGCATCGACCGTCACATCGGTGACCGTTTGTAGTGGTCGCTTGAGGACAATGAGCCATGGATACATGCCTTTGCTCAAATTCTCCTACTTGTGGGATGTAGGTGACGAACCTATTAACTGCTGCTAGAAGCTCTGCTGGGAACTCCCATGCTAGACTGTCACAGTAGTATATACGCTTGTAGGGTCGTAACTCGATGACTACCAAGACCCAGTGATTGCCAGGGGGATTATTACCGAGACCTCCTATGAATGTTGTTGCGCCTTGCCGATTTCCAACATTCAGAACAAACACCATACGCTTGAGTGTACCAAGGTTAAAACTTTTTGACATTCTGGCCATCGTACTTTGAACATCTACCACAGCATTGGGGCAGAACAGGAGGACATCGTTTTGTGACTTATTCAGCTTATCTAAGACCCATGTTATGTGATCAGTTGAAAGCCATCCTCGAGATCCTGAGGCCGCAAGACGAGAGAGTTCATCTGATGTCATAGCTAAAATAGACATGAATGCCATATGTTAAAGATGCTGTAAAATGTGTTCCCTGTCCAAGTTTGGTTGTAGTGTAGTGTAGCATTTTTTATTCAATATAAGGGATAATGCATGATTTATAATAGCGTCTATCCTCTAATTAGCGCCCCCATCGAATAAGCAGCCCCCGTTTTATCCCAAATTTAAAATAAGTGGCCCTCCTCGAATAAGCGCCCCTCCCCCTTGCGAGTTCTAAAACAACAAACGTTGAGTAGTTTTGGTTGTGTTTATTACGCATCAGTCATGTAAGTTTTCAGTTATATTCTGCAGATATAAATGAACATCTGGTCACGATTTGGGAAAATTAAATAAGCACCCTGAGCGTTAATTCGAGGATTTACGGTATATATTTTTGGGCTAACGCCACACCCCGTTCGCAGGCTCTTGGGGTTGGTTGTACCTATATGGTTGTACATATAGCACGGTGCCAATAAACCATGTCTTTGTCTATGAGGAGGATCCGAGAGAGGGCGGCTGTCCCCCAAATTTCGAAAAGTTGATGTAGAAACATAATATGCAAAAGTTATACACAACCCCCTCGCTGAAAAAAAATTGTAAATGAATAAAATGAACGTGACTTAAAAACCGTTAAAAATTAAAATGGCAATATTTTTCAAATTGTTCAATATAACCTACCGTACATCGGCAGCCATCCAGTTGTCTTGCTCTGCCATATCAGCTCCTTGAACGTCGATATTGACCTCTCGGGTATGATTCGACGCGTTATTGGTGGGTTAAACGCTTGGGAAAACCAGTCTTCTTCCGTTTGTTGAAGTCTAGGAAATAGCTCTCCGCGAGATTTCTTTGAATTATCCATGTCTATTGTGCAGTATAAAAATATCTGATGCGTTAATTTCTTTAGGTGTATTTGCGCATTTCGACGTCCTAGCACAGCGAGCATCACAGGCTAGTGGGGTCTAGGGACATCTCTCCCACCAGAATTTGTTTTAAATGGTGCAATTTGGTGCATTCTAAGCTTTTCTCAACACATTAGTTCAATAAAGTATAGTTTATTGATGCCAGAGATGCCAACCTTTGAAGTTTGGAATCGGGGAGGATTTATCGTTGCGAGCCAGCCGAGCTCGTGAAGCGAGCGAATGGTTATATATATATGGTTATATGGTTATATATATATATTATTAT